TTATTGCTGTGGAAGGAAAAATACTTGAAGAAATTTGTTCAAGTATAAAACCTTCAGTACAACACCTTTGTATCTTTGGATGTGATGCCTATGCACATATTTCAAATAAAAATATACAAAAATTAATCTTAAGAGTAAGAAATGTATATTTTTGAGCTATATTGAAGATATTAAGTGCTATTGATTATATGACATTAGAAATGATTCCATATTTAAGAGCCATGATATTAAATTTGTTGAATGTAAAAATTCTAAGCAAACGGTGTTATGTAGTAATATGACTATATAATAAAACATAAAAATGTGGATATTATCAAAGAAGAACTTAGCAAAAAGATGTAATAAAAAAATAAAGATAAAAGATAGAAAGATAGTAAAAGATTTAATCTTAATGTTGTTATTTTATAGAAAGAACTTCTATTTACTTTGTAGAGGCATAAATAATCCATATCAAAGTAAATGAAGTAAGAAATTAATATAAGCATATTAAAGAGATAATTAACAATAAGATAAAGCAAAATTTACTTCAAATTACTAAAAATTGATATCCAGAGAGAACCAATTGTCAACTTAGATCAAAATTAGATCCCAAAGCATAAAATTACATCCATATGGCAACTTCAAAGTTTATAGGTAGATCAAAAAGTAAGATTTGAAAGAAACCTTAAAGAGAGATTTTTTAGTATTAGTTTTGCATCAATCAAATCAATATTGAATTTATGAAGAATTTTTGAAGTTAGTGATGTTCTTGATTAGTTTAGATTTCAAGAAATAAAAATGTAATTATAAGTTTGAGGGATTCTTCAGTTTTGTAGCATGTATACTAGTAAATTTTGGACAATGTATTGATGTACTAGTTGTAAATGTGTTTGCAAATTTTGAAGTCAATCAAAAGATTAGGTCAAAGTATGTGAAGGTTTTTGTACGTTGAAATCCCAGAAATTAGAATTTGAGGATCAATGAGTATTTCTAAGATCTTCATCAATCTATCAATTGGATTAAATTAAAATATTTTTGTATGAATATTAGATTCAATTTTTAATATTTTAGGTGAAATTTGGAAGCAATTCAATAGTTCAAGAAGGAGATATTGGCACCAGAAGTTCAACATTTAGATTGGAATAAGAGGCCGCCTAATACCCGATTGGATTATCTTACATTTCTCTCAATTAGTAAGTGTGATTGCTTTCATCTTTCTTTTGCTTATTTCTAACTAAAACATTAAGATGTGTGAAAATTTTGAATTGATATCAACGATTTAATTATTAAATGTTGAAGTTCCATTTGCTATAGGATTTATTAAGAGTTTGTTTAAGATCTAAGATTTGGTATAGAAATTGGTTAGGATTAGAGTTTGCTTAAGATTTGGTTTAGAACTTCTTTGGGATTTGTTTAGGATTTAAGATTTTATTAGGATTTTATTAAGATTTGACCTAGTATTTGATTAAGATTTAATTAGGATTTTAATTAGGATTTGACTTAAGATTTGATCTAGAATTTGGTTAAAATTCAATTAGGATTTTAATTAAGATTATATTAAGATTTTTATTTCTAGTATTTTTCTTTAAAAAAATTATATTTTTATTGTGAGTTCTTTTAAATTTATTTCAATACGTTGAAGTTTCATTGGATTATTAGAAATGACTTGAAGTTTATTGAAGGCTCTATTAGTAGGATTGCTATTGCATTATTACTTATCTTACTCAGTTAGGTACCTAGTGTATTTTCAAGCAAGAATACACATAATAAGACAACAAAAGGAACTTGATAAATCTTAAGAAATAAGGATTAAAATTGAATCTATGGAGACTTCATCAGATTTAGAAAGTGACAATGAAGATATATTAAGAGATTTTGTTACTAGCAAAGATCACCAACAACCAATTATTGAATTTTCATCTTCAATTCAAGATATTCAAACACAAGCTTAAGCACTCAGACAATAATGTGTAGCTTTAATTCCACCTCCAATCTCACATCCACTTCCATCTTTACCAATGATGATGCGTGCGAAAACTCGACTTTTGGCACAACAACAAGCAACTAATGAATCAACATTGGCTTAGTTTCTTTCCAAATCATTCATATCTTTAGCATATATGGCATATATTTTTTACAAAAGCACTAAAGAACCATCTACTATCATTAAAGCTATGAAAAGGGATGATACTTGAAAGTAGAAGGAAGCAATGGATTTAGAACATTGGAGTCTTATTAACAACAAGACTTTGACTTTGACTTTGATACTATTATCAATAAACAAAAAATTAATTGATTGCAAATGGATTTTCAAGATCAAATATAATATACATAGATCAATGGAGTACTACAAGGCAAAATTCATTACAAAAAATTACGTGTAAAAAGAAGGTATTGATTACAATGAGTTTTTTGCTTTAGTGGTAAAAATAACCTCAATTCATATATTTCTTACACTAGTTGTATTTAAAGATTTGAAAGTTTATCAAATGAATGTCAAGACAACATTCTCAAATGGAGATCTTAAAGAGGATATATATATATATATATATATATATATATATATATACCAATTAAAAGGCTATATATCAAAGAATGAAGAACAATTGATGTATAAACTTTCTAAAACTTTCTATAGACTTAAATAAACTTCTAGGGCATGGTACAAAAAGCTAGATGATTACTTTGCCTTTCAATGTTTAAATAAAAGCCATGCCAACCTTAACATTTATATATTGTAGATAATTGGTGGATTCTTCATGATTATTCTATTTTATGAGGATGAATTGATTCTTGTCTTAATAATAAAGAACTTCTTTTGAAAACAAATAAAAATTTAGCTAAGAGATCTAAGATAAAAGATTTGGAAGAAATCTACTATATTTTGGATATGTAGATTATGAAGAATCAAAAGATTTGTAAAATCTAATTCAATTAGTAAAAATATGTAGAAAACATCCTGAAAAGATTTGGCATGAAAGATTATAAATCTTTGGCTATAGCTTTGGATTCTAACAACAAATTGTTAAGAGATATGAGTCCACAGATTCCTGAAGAGGTTGAAGCAATGAAAGGGATTCCATACCAAAATACAATTGGCAGTTTAATCTTTGAATGATAAGCACTTGAATCAATATTTCTTATTTAGTAGAAGTTGTTAGTCAATACATGGCAAAACTTAGTCCACAATATTGAATAGTAATAAAATGCATTTTGTGTTATGCTCAAGGTACATGAGATCATGTACTATAATATAATGAAAGTTGTTTGAGTTTATAAGTGGTTGATTACTATGATGTAGACTATGCAAGAGATATTGATATATAATGTTTGACCATTGGTTATACATTCTTGTTGGTTGGTGGTATAATTAGTTGGAATAGCAAGAAGCAACTAATAGTCGTATTATCTACTACCAAAGCAGAGTTTATAGCAACTTCTCATACTACAAAAGAGACAATTTGGCTTCAAAGATTTCTTTAAAACATTGGATTTTCACAAGACAATCCTTTGACTATTTTCAATGATAACCAAAGTTGGATTTTTCTTTTAAAGAATCCTACATTCTATATTCATAATAATCATGTTAAAATTCAACATCACTTTGTTTGTAAAAAGATTAAGAGTGGTGACATCAATTTAGTTTTTATTGGGACTCAAGATATAGTTATGGATGTTTTGACCAAAGATTTAACTTATAAGAAAAATTGTAAATTCAAGGAGATAATGGGTATTATCAAATTGAGTTAGTCTAATATGTCAATAAATGGAAGAATATGTAACTCCTATTAGATATAATATAGAATGAGTGGTTGACATTGCTTTGTTGATTCATAAGTTGTAGCCACCATTTATTGGTGGTAATACCATTTAGCCATCGAAGCCTATGAAGCCATCATTCTACATAACAAGACAAGTGTCCACATATTAATTAGACATTGTTGACTAAGCTAGTTGTTTATGTATTCACACTAAAAAGTCCATGTTAATTAGACATTGTTGACTAAGCTAGTTGTTTATGTATTCACACTAAAAAGTCCATATCGTTAGACATTGAACTAGTAGTATAAGAATTCAAACCAAAAGCTCATTTTAGCAAGCAATTTTAGTTCTCCATGTATTTGTACTTCTATTCTAGCAATATATGTCTTCATATTTTATCATATATTATATGATGGACCTTCTAAAAGTTTTATTGCAGTCAATTCATCTTTTATCACACATGATTGATCCTAGAAAAGCTTTATTGCATTCATTCATCTTTTTCACACATGATGGACCCTAGCAAAGCTTTACTGCAGTCATTGCTAGCAAGACTTTACTGCAGTCATTGCTCGCAAGACTCTACTGCAGTCATTGCTCGCAAGACTCTACTGCAGTCATTGCTCGCAAGATACGAAACCCATCTTCGTCGAGATATTTGCATGATCGACGTGTACCGGCGAATTCCAACATTCTACAACGCAAAGTAGAACACATGCACTGAACGGAGCACAAAGGGATCTAGAATCTTGCCCCCGGCGGCACTAATAAGTCTCGACGTATGCAGGAGTCATTGTGTTGGCGTATGCCATTTCTTCTATGATGGCCTGTTTCTTCTATCTCTTTGATTAGCATCGCTGGGAGATAATCAGCTCAGAATGGCAGTGTTCGTGAAAAAGTTACAGCGTTTTCTTTTATCACAAAGTCTGAGATGGAGTTCGCTAAGCTAGATCTGACGTAGCAAGAGGGAAGGCGAAGGCGTTACCAGCGCTCCGGTTCCAGAAGGCTAGGATTTTGTAGGGACGCCAGGGAATAGACAGAATTGCGTGATTGCAGGCCTAGTTTGCAGAGGTGGACGTGACAGTGAGCAATGTGGGTGCCAGAGTAACAAGGCTGAGGCTGCTCCACCTTGTCCATCGTCGGGTGTATCGGCGTCTCTCTCGTCGACCTATAGCGCTGAATGCCATAATTTGCGGGTCTAGATTGTGGCCCCTGACAGCATCAACTACGGACACATTGAGAGACCACACCAGGTTCACATGCTGCGCTCATTGCTCAATTTCCTCTTTAACGTTACTAACCCTGTGACGCTTTCCCTGCTTCTCTTTCTCTCTCTTACTCTCTCTTCCTTCTCCTGTTCATGTCGCAGTCACGACTTTTGTGGTTTAGTGGAGTTAGTGTCGCTGAAAGGGACTCTGTGTTTTCTGTGGTCTAGAGATCGTATGGGATAGGAATGTCGCCAATAGCTAGGAGCATGGGCTGGCCCTGAGCAATGTGAGATGGAATTAGCTTCGTGGACGTCGGGTGTGCGGGCTACCAATGCTGTAGTCACGAATGGTTTGTAGTGATCAACAGTTTCGCGCAGTAGATGTCGACGGTTTGCACATGCCTGGCCGATCCAACGTGTTGCACATGGTGCGGGGCGATCTCGTAGAGCCAGCCGTGTCATACTAAGTTAGTGTTTTTGGTTCAGGTCTGCGTGAAGGAGTGTGTGTACGACGCACTTGTGATTGTAGTTTCAGGAACTCTTAGGGGAGTTGCATATATTATTTGTATTTTCGGTGACACACAGGGGCAACTTGCAGCAGCTGAAGCACTATAGTTGCTGCGATCGACCTATTCGCGCAGTGGGGGGATTGCAACACGCGACGATCGACGCATTTTTTGGAGTGTATTGCAGTCTTAGGGTTTCAGGATACTCAAGGGAGGGTTACTTACAGAGGCAGTCACAATGCCTCTGTTTATGACCGAATCGGAACTGGAGGCGGAAGGTGGTAATGTAGACGCGATAGTGGCAAAGGCTGACGCATTCATTCGGGTGTTACAACAACAGCTTGAGACGCACAAGCAGGCCTGCTTTGATGTCGAGGAGATGTTCCTCACGGTAGGCCTGCGGTTTCATCGACAATTACTTATCCCTCTAAAAAATCAAACTTAATACTGAGCTGAACGGAGTGACCCTATCGGTCTGATGGACAGGCTGTTGTATAGTTTAAACCCTTACGGATTTGCTTTGATTGGTACCTTGCGAGGTTCATTCGTAAGATATTCCTGTAAGCAATGTAGCTTTTAAGCGATGAGTAAGGTGCCAGAAAGGTTCGCAAGCTGTGATGACCTATCGGCTTTAAACTTGATGTACAGGCTGAGAAGAATGGAAAGGACGCTGCTAGGGCTTTGGAGGAGTTGAAGGAGCTAAACCTTGACTTGGAAGCGAAGCTTGAACAAACCAACAAGGTTCGTTAGCCTAGAAGTACCTTGTGCCAGTCCTGTCATGAATCAAATATTTCGTCCCTGGCAAAATAAATTATTTCTGCTTGATTTGTGGCTCCTTGGTGTACCACGGTGATTCCATGTATTGGTTGTGAATTTTGCAGGAGCTGAGTTCCTTGAAAAAGGGTCGCGGTGGAAGAGATCATAGATCCGGGGCCAAAGTTGCTCCGGTACTTGATGTGTTCCACGTTCTCTGAATGTAGATGGCTAGGCTTGTGTTCAACCCTTGAGCTATTCTCTATTAAACTATTTACCTTCGGAGCCTTAATTGTAAGGCCATTTTCTGTACAGGAAGTCGACTCCAAGGAAAAGCTTCACAAGCTGTCAGCTAAGGCCAAACCTACGCCGGTGAAGGCCAAAGAGTGAGAAAAAATTCATTCTCTAGCTGGAAATGCTTTCACGGGACCTATGTATATTTAACATTGCATGCAGCTTTCATGTATTTTTTTTTATTTGTCGGTCCTATTACTTCTTTTTTCTTGTTCTCCTACGTCTGGTTACCATGTTGCTGCGATTGACCTTGTTGTAACATATTGAAGCTGAGCTGCTTTTCGGGATATTCCTTGGTCTTTCTCAGAGAAGCATGTACATCATCAGAAAATGGTGCTCCAGCCCGAGCTTCTGAGTTTTGTGAGAAAGCAAACGGTAAGGATCCCACCCAAAATGGTCGCACTCATGCGGATCAGAGAGCGCCTGTCTCTGCCCGAAATGCCAACCCAACGCACTTCACACCCACATCTGCCCCAGTTGGCGATGGAATTCTCTCATTAGAGCTGTCTAAGGAGGATCAAGATGCACTGGAGACACTGAACAAGGAGGACGCAAAGCTGGGGGAAGAAATGGCCGCACTCAAGAGTAAAGGCGGCAACACATCCGGCTTCAGCTTCAAGAGCCACGAACGAGCAGAGAAGCGACGGGAGTTCTATTCGAAACTGGAGGAGAAGATGCGAGCCAAGGAAGAAGAGAAGAACCAAATCGAGGCGAAGACACAAGAGGAGATGGAGAACAAGGTGAAGGAGTTACGAAAGGGTCTGAAGTTCAAAGCCACTCCGTTGCCAAGCTTCTACCAAGAATCCGGCCCTCTAAAAGTAGAAGTGAAGAAGATTCCACCAACTCGAGCAAGGTCTCCCAAGCTCACCACATCACGAAGAGCTAGTCATGGGGGAGTGGGGACAGAGCATGATCGCTCAAAATCTCCAGTGGCTAGAATTAAGGTCTCCACCGATCATGCTTCTAAGAACGGTTCGAAGGATGAGACGAAGAAGTCACTTCCACGACGTCCAAAGAGTAGTGCTGCCTTATCTAGGCGTGTAAGTCTCGACTCAGGCCTGGCGAAGCTTGCTGCCGGAGCACCCAGCAAGGACAAAGCAACGAATGCAGTGGTACCGGAAGTGGCAGTCGCATTCTAGAGAAGCAGCATCAATGTGCCGGTGTCGTGTAGGATCTGGCGGCCGTAGAAGTTCCAGTGGATTTTGTGTCCTTTTTGTAAAAATGAGGGTTGTGATACTTCAAATCCAGTAGTAGTGGTTTGTTCAGAAGGATATGAACATGCTTGTTACCACTCACAGGAGACCATTGACACGAGATGTGTGCATCCCGTCATCGATGTGCGTCCCAGCGTGAGCTTCTTTCCTGGGTAAGACTCTAGCTTTCCTTGGCGGTTTTTCACCGACGTTTGAAGCCCTCCAGGTTACTGCCTTGTTGTCATCTGAGTCAGCTTTATCTAGTCGACTTTTCTCCATGTTTTTTCAGAGTTTTGTACCCATTCAAGTCAAGTGAATTGGACAGTAGTACAATGCGATCCATGTGCCTGATTGGGCATCTTCAACCTCAATGCTACGGTCACTAAACAGTCCAATCCTTTCGTTTCACTCTGCCTCGTGCCAGTTTGACGATTCTACCCCATCCTGTTGTCGATATGCCCTGCGCCCCACATCATCGATTGTTTCGCTCATTACAAACAGTATTGGGTGGTGCAATTATGTGAACCAATTTTTCTTTCTTCTTGTTGGTTCATTTATTCGAGGTGAGTTACATCTTCCAATGGCACTCTGATTGTATGATCTTTTGGGTTTGATCTCACATGATAATATTCTCAAACACAGAACGTAACAGCAATGTAAATGTCAAAGTGCACGGCATTGAGGCTTGTTTTACCAGGACTCAAGCCACTTTCCATGGAATTAAATGCACTCCTAATGATTAAATTGCAGTAAAAACAAGTGTTGGTGCATCAGATTATTTAGTGTAAACAATTCGAACTGAATTCCATTTGTGCAAGTGGGGACTTGACTGGAAGCCTACAAGATGTTTCAAAATCGATCTATTGAAGTGGGGGACTGCATTTAATAAACGGTGATACCTTGCTGAAGATAAGGAATAAATTGGCTGCATAGGAACATGTGATGTCTTAGAGTTTCACAGAGCAAGCTAATAACTTTAATTCAATGCACAGAATATAAAATAGTGCGTCTCCCTTGTCGAACTTGTCCTTCAAAGAAATGTTTGTACATGTGTACTTAGAGCATGTAACTGAGGATAGAACAGTAGTTTTTTTGCTACAAGGCCCGCCTTTAATAAGTTTGATAATTTTCAACTTTGCCTCTGAATTAGACGGACACTTTTTCATTATTTATTAAAAGAAATGGAATAAGTAATTTATAAACGATAAAAAATAAATGCTAAGGATGCTATGTAATTCACTAAACGATTTATAAAACATTGAACCATTCTAAAGAAGAATGATTGTAAATTGTACATAACAAGTGATGTTCTAGTAGAAAAGTACATACAAGTGTCAAAATCTATTAAAAATTGTAACAATAAGATAAGAACTTATAAGTGCAAGCACATGATATCTTTAGATTTATAGCCAAATTCTTAAACTTTCATTCTACTGTAAGTTTTGAACTTATTTTGATCCAAATTCAAATAAATTTGTCTATACAAAACAGATTTTTAAAATTTATTAGTAGGCATAAAGAAAAAATTACCACATATACATTCATAAATATGTATGTATGTATAGTGGAAATAAAAAATGTAATTATTCCATAAAATTGTTGCATAATATTTTATTAAATAAAGAATCTTATACCAAACCATAAATAAGATTAAAAATTATATACTTCAGAATTTAAGAATGACCAATTCTATATTTATATGTATTCTAATTTACTAAATAAAGTCGTGTGTAAAATAGTTTTAAAAATCTTAAACCTTCAATGTGTTTGTGAAAATTGATACAATATTAAACTAAAATTATAAAATTAAAGAGTTTTTTATACAATAATTCACAAAACATTTAATAAAATAATAATAATAACTAATTATGAATATTTTTTAAAGAATACATATTTAATTATTATAAAATAAATAAATAAATAAATAAATAAATAATATTGTTAAAAAGCTATTTATAATATTATAAACTTTTGGTTTTACAAGCTTTTTAATACCAAGCAGAAAAAGATATACCGAAAATGATGATAGAACTTCAAATTTTATTTAGCATGAGATTTAATTATAAATAATGAATTTTCTATTAATTCTAGGGTTTTTTATTGTAAAAAATCATTTTTTTAGAAGTTTAAGCACAAAATTATGGATCTCGAAAGCATCTAAAGATAAGTGGTTAAAAAATAGATATGTGTTTATACATGATTATGAATATATTTGTGGTTTATGCTTCAGTTTTTATTCATTTATTTATTTATTTATTTATTTATTTTTAATCTGTTTACATTTTTGTAATCAAAAATAAGCATAGGCACATTATCTACCTAATAAAAAAAATTAAAGAATATTATTCAAAAAATCATCAACGTATATCAGACAGTCTTCTAATAAAAACTTGTTTTCCTTTAGATATTCACTACAATGAAGAACAAAAAAATGATTGTATTTTAAATATCGTAAAAAGTATTAATATTCACAGAAAAAATTCTTACTCTCTAATGATTTTTGTAATGAAGTAACTCTTAAATAGAGGTCCCAAATCTCTTATGTTGTAAAAAATACCATGAAGAAGTTTTAAAGTGCATTTATATGTTGTACAAAAATAATTTGTAAAACTATGGGCTTTAAGGGTTATGCACTGAGTAAGACATATTTTTAAAACTTTGAATGACCAGTCTTTTTTGACTACCTAATTATTATATAATTTAATGCAATCAATCAATAAAATCTTAAAGAATAAGATCCTACATTTGCAAGTTATACAAATCAACATAAGATAGAGGTATTAGTCAATCTCATTAATTATTCTTTTTAGTCTTTAATTTCTTGTATCCCGCATGACCATTTGATTGCCTTCTTATGTTGTATTTATTCATAAGTAAATTAAAATTTTATTTTTTTTGCACAAAGACTATACATCTATTTTTTGACTTACCTTCATGTAAATGCTTGGTAGACTTTTAGCATCTTTTTTGCTAATGCAAAGAATGGTGAATACAACAACAATAGATAAATAAATAAAAAGTTGATGACATTCTATATGGCTATCTTTGTAGTAGATATTTATAGAGTTTGATTTTTGGACAACAAGGCTACTAAAAACCCAAGACACCAAACAATACCAACAAACAAACAAATCAAGCCAAATGAACTGTTGTGTGTATTTGTCAAAGTAATGACAATGTTGGTGTCACTGAGAAGGTCTTGACATTTGAGGGCATGGACAGGCTAACATGCTATAATCTTTCACTGTCAGAGGCCGCAATTACTACCCTAAACCTCCATCTCTGAGTAAAGACAACAGCATCATTCCCACATTGTCTAAAGACCATCCTTCTTCAAATTGGTGTTTAATTAATAGGAGTACAAAGGTTCACACCATAGCACACCAGGTGATTCTAAAAAGAGTATTTCTGAGTGAGAAAATGCTGCTATTGGTACTGCAATCAATTCATATTTGGCAAGGACAGGCTGACAACTACTTGGGATAACAAAGATCTGCCATGCTCTAAAGCCTTATCCCTTCACTCGAAATAAAAATCAGAAGTGTAATGGAAATTGGGTTAGTAGTACTTATGTGTGGTGAACTGGACAGTGTTGTCTTGGTTGTTGTAACCCTAGTATTTGGCCTGTGTCATTGTGGAGCAGCCACTTAGAGTTCTTATTCAGAACAACAACAACAACAACAAATTAATACACTGCTTGCCCCCATTGATGGGCAACTACACCTCCAAAACCTCTGATTGTTGCAACTTATGCAGATTTAAAATAAAATAAAATAAAAAAACAAAACAAACAAAAACAAAACGCTTTCCTTCTGAGAGGCACAGATTGTGTGAAAAACATTGGAGTGCACAGTAGATTAAACCAAAGTTGTAGTAAAACCCTAAACATTTAGACAACAAAATCAAGATCCATAATCACTTAGATGCCGCAGTTTGTTTTGTTTTGTTTTTTTTTTGTCGCAGTGTCCATAGTAAAATTTTGTGACAATGCCATGAACTCGACTGACCAAATGAGGATATTGGGTCATTCTGTGTTGAAAAAAACAGAGTGAAGTTAATGCAGTCAGTGTAGCATAGTGAAGACAAAAGAACCCAAAAGTGTGTATGATTAAAATGTGGAACACTGAACAGTGATTTGTTTTAAAACCATGAGTTTTTGGCTTACTCCAGGGAAACTTTTATTAAAATCATGATAATAGTAATGGTGATATATATATATATATATATATATATATATATATATAAACATTCTTGGTCTGAAAAGTATAATTTCAGAACATATACAAAATTATATTACAAATAAGAATTTGCACCAATATTGATGTTTGATGTTTGATATTTTGATTTTGAAGTTTATTTTCTATTGAATTAATAATTCAGTTAAAATTACTTTTTTGCTTGTGATTGAATAGAAATGAAAAATTTGAATTTTTGAATTTATTTTAATTAGTTATTAAATAGTTTAACTCTCAAATTTGTATGTGTTTAAAAATTAGAGTATTGCTAATGCCACCATAGTTTTTGCTACTGCCAACACAACTTGTCACCTACTTCACTTGTATTATTTTAGTTTTTTAGTTATTTTATTTGGTTTTTTAAACTCCAATATCTCTCTCTCTCTCTCTCTCTCTCTCTCTATATATATATATATATATATATATATTCAAATCATATTAATTAATTATTTAATAAGAATAGGTTGTGATAGCAATAGCAACTATTATAGTGGCATTAGCAACATCCAAATATTAATGTTGAATAGAAGTTGAATTTTCTTGTTTATATTAATTTATATTATCAAATTTATAAAGTAAATTACACAAGCCTATTTCTAAATTTAAAGAGAATGAAATTTGAATTGAACTATTTAGAAACTTAAGAGATTATTGTGTGTATGTGTTTCTTTTTTCTTTTTCTTTCGTAAAATTATACATGAAAATAAATATTGATAAATGGAGATGTGGTGTAAAGTTATTGCTGAAGATGTTGATGTATACCTACTCTAACAACTCTTTCCAACCTTAAATGTGACCAATAAGTTTTACATAATAAGTCAAAAATATAAAAAATAATAAATATATTATAACATCAATAAATCTCTTCAAAGTAATCTTTAATTTTTTTGGTAAGTAACTTGTTAGCAAAACATTTTATGAAATATTTAGAGTTAAATAACAGTTATTGAATATAGTATTTAGTATATTATTTTTATTTATTTATCACAAAAATATTTTTTGTATACAAAGCACTAAAAGCAAAATGACGTGAGCTTAGTAATACATGTTTGCACTAAGGAATATTGGTATTTTAAGTAGAATACCTTCACATTAAAGATTTATTAAAGAAGTTGATTTTTTTTTTTTTTTTTTTTTTTTTTTTAAATTCAAAGGAATAATATTGGATGCATACATCAATACTTTGGTATATATATCTATATATATCAAAGTTCATTTATAGCATCAATTAAATTTAATAAATAATCTGCAATAACATATAGCACGCACACAAATCTTATAATGTAAATTTAAATAAGCAAACATTTATCTATGTGTTAGTATAGATAAATTCAATGTTTTTAACTTTATTCATTTAAAAACATTCTTAGTATTTAGTTTTGTAAATAAAACACTTAATTTTTGTAGGCTCATAAAGAAATATTAATTTAATGGACATGTTGAATGTAAATCATTATTTGAATCACATGTTAGATCTAATGAAGTGTCATTAGAGACAACAAGTACAATGTAGAGTTGTTGCACATTGGTGAGGGGTACTTTTTAAAGGTCAACCATTATTAGATAATTACCTTCTATTCGTGCCATTGCACACATTATTGAACCTAAGAGATTGCATTGTGAAAATCAATTTATCAAAGATTCCATTTTATCTCTCACCCACCTAATTATTGTTATATTTTTGAAATAAGAGATTGAAATTTTAGTATTACAGTCAAACAATTATAATCTTAATAAAAATAAAAAAAAAGTTTGATATAACATGGCTTTTCCACAATCTCAAAGAACAAAAACCTATAAAGCCATTAAGTGGAATGCAAAAAATGATGGAAAAATCTTTCAACATTGCAATTATATTGTGCTTTGGGTCCCCATCAATATTAAAATGAGGTTGACTTTGAAGAGGGAACAAGTGACCGGTAATGGCCGGTGGAAATGGTAATAGGAGTGAAGTGCCAGTGTCCGAGCTCTCTGTGTGTGAGTGACCCCGGCCTGGCACGGCGGAGAGGGAAAGGGGGACCTAATTCCGCACCCCTAGACCATGCTCTCTTGCAGTAAGCGACTGGTGGAGCAATTTTCCTTCGGCTTCCACAACGTTGTGGAGGGGTTTTCGCAATCGCCTGCGGCTCTTTGTGGTTCATTTCCAGCTCGGGTTGTTTCCTCCGCGTGCTAGCCTTGCCTCTCAGCTCCAGGTAGGTGTTTTTTGCGCCAACATTGAGCAAGATCTCAGGATGTTACGGTGAAATTTGAAGTTAGGGTGCCGCTGTTGTTGAGTTTGAAGTAGATCCTCCGTGACAGGCTCTATGTAGGGTTTTGGACGTTGGAGTTTAACCCTGGACTGCTTCGGGTGTAATGTTTTATGGTTTTGATGAAGAGTGTCTAGCGAAGGCCATGAGAAGAGTGGATCCTTTCGGAGGACTCAGTTGTGTATTGCGTTTCGAGGCGGTGTCTTTTAATTTGGAAAAAGAAAAAATGCATTCTCTCCTTCTTGTTCTGGTGTAGTTGGTTTTGAAGTGAATTGCGGTCTGGGAAGCTGATGTTGTATTAGTTTGGTAGTTTGGATAGGGTTTTGTTGAGCTTGGTGATCTGCTTGCGTCATATTATGATTGAGATTAGGTTTTTCTGGGAGCAGGTTCTGGCGCTGGGAACATTGAAGGAAGTTTGTTTCGAATTGCGGTGTTGCATGGAGAAGTAAGTGCGTGGCGAGTGGACTATTAGCAGGAAGTTGATGCTGGAGGAAGCTGCATGGTAAGGTTCTTGCGGTAGCAGGCACAATGCCTCTCTTTATGAGCGATTCCGAGCTTGAAAGAGAGCAGGGGAATGTACACGCTGTCGTATCGAAGGCTGACGCCTTCATTCGGGAGCTCCAAGAGCAACTGGAGACCCAAAAAGCTCGTGCAGATGCTGTAACAATCAATGCGGAGCAGACTTGTTCACTTATCGAACAAAAGTTCCTTGCACTCTCGGCGCAATTTTCGCAGCTGGAGAATGAGAAGGATCAGAGTTTTGCTACTTTGGAGCGACGATCCACTGAGCTCGCCCAAGCTCAAGCACAAATTCATAAGTTGGAAATTGAAGCTGTACGTTCTTCCATTTTTTGTTGAATTTTGTTACAAAACTTTGTTGTCAGAGTATTCAGCCTAGCGCAATCATGTTATTAACTCCCTGAACACTGAAATGTGATTGTGTTGAATAAACTGTCACGACTTTCCGGTGCCCTTACAATTGCTTCTCATTTAACGGGCAAGCCCTAAATTTTTGCTGTCAGATAGCCAGCAGCTAAGCTTGCGATTATTGCATGATTTTTCGGCATCACCTAGATGATGAATGAGATCCGTACTCGAGCTAGAAATCGTAATGTTTTATTATATTATATGGCTCAAAGTTCATCAGTGCTTTCATGTTTTTGTAGTTTACCATATTGTGGTCACTTGAATTGTTATTATCAAATGTATTTAAGCTATACTATTCTTTACGTTTTTTGAAAACAGATAAAGCATAATAGTACCACGGAACGCCTATCATGTGAAGTAGGGGAGCTTTCGAAAATAAAACGGGAATTGTTGGAAGTGATTGAGCACAAGAGGTTAGAACTGGAGGAAAAAAATTCATCTATCAAGACCTACCTCAACAAAGTAGTAAGTTACCTGATCCCGATTTTTTCCAGAAACCTTTTTCAAGAGAATGTGAACCAGATTTCAGCGGAGACTCTGGGTTCCACATTTCTCTTAGATCACATATTCTCCGGTCTATTGAAATGTGATAGGATTTGCTAGTGTAGATACTCTCGTTAAATCCTATTTGTTCATTCTATGTAGTGTTTGTATTTAACAATCTTTGTTACATTGTGTTCGGAGCAGACGTATTTTATATGTGTTTTGTTCTGAAGCTGGCTAGCCTATTTCAATGTGCAGGTTGAGTTGACAAACGACCGCAGCAGCCTTGAAGGCAAGCTCCACGAGCTCGAGGCCGAAGTTATTCGCTCTAGGGCTAGTTTGACAAGAATCTCACAGGTACTCTTGATGCATGTAGACCATTTTAGTGAACGTCAATATGATTTGATTTTGGTGAGGTACGCACAAAATTTGAATGAATTTTCTCTTGTTTATCATCTACCTACGAAGTGAGTTCCAATGGCTCCTAACTTTTTTTAGGGCTTGTTAGTAGATTTATCGAGCAAGACTATGCAAAGCAGATGAGGAGACAAGCATTTCATTGTGTAAAATTGTTCCCTATGCCATTGAGTAGATCTTTATTGGTATTGTGTTGCACTTTATTTTAAACCAGGATAAGGAGTTAGTGGAGCAACATAATGCTTGGCTGAATGACGAATTGACAGCAAAAGTTAGCGCTCTTTTGGAGGAGAGACATGAAAGTGCGGAGACAGAGGCGGGTTTGAAGTTTAAATTATCTGAGGTGCTCACATGACCTTACAGCTCACGTTATGTTTATATTACTTTCGTGAGATGATAAGGGTGGTGCTTTGATAATGTTGGTCCTCTGACCGAATTTGTACTCGAACAGATCTGCTTTGATAGTCGCTTCAAACATTCAGCTAAGGTATTGTGTTACATTCCATAATTGTTGTGCAGGCTGAAAGGTCTGTAAAGGATACAACTCAGACATTGCAGCGAACGAAGGAGTACAATCTTGAGTTGGAGTCTAAACTGAGTCAAGTTCGAGAGGTTTGTGTTCTGAAATAAGACTTCTTCCTATGAGTTTCTATGCGGTTAGCTATTTTCTGTTTTTTTTGTCCCGCAGAATCTAGTGTCTAGATCTGCTTGTTTGTGACTTAAATCAGCCGATCAGTGCGTAATATCGAGCACTTCTACAGAGTGTTCGTAGTATGATAATTTTGAATTCTAATTGGGAATCTGTTTTCGAGCAATCGGTCATTGGCGTCATTTGGTACAATATGATATCTTGCTTGTGCAGGAATTGAAGTTTTTAAAGGAAGACTCTGCCGTGAAAGAGGAACAATTTGCTGCTGAAGTTGCTACGGTAATTTTTCTGTTCGCAGAACTTTCGAGTTTTGTGAGGTTGTCGTACCTGCGTAGTCGTTGCACTGCGTGGCACTGCATCTTACAGCGCTTATGTTATTCGACCATGTGAATGAAGAATTTTCTTTTTCAGAATAACCGTTCGTTTAAGAAAGCATTTTGAAGCAAAACCGTGTATGTTAACTTTAATGATTTGGCGTTCACACTATGCTTTCGGTATCTACTCCATTCATGCAATGTACTTCGATCTTTGATTTTTATTACAACTTTGTGTTACTTTGGGCAGGCTGCTAAGCTTTTGGAGCTTTACAAGCAAAGTTCTGATGATTGGTCTAAGAAGTCTCATGAGCTTGAGGGTGTGATTAAAGCGCTTGAGGTACGTTTGATGAGAGTAAGATGTCCTGATTTGTCTGACCATGGTGCACTTTTAGTCTTTTTTCAGACACTTCCAACGAAAGCGTTTTGCTAGCCACATCCTGATTGTGGTCTTTGGGAACATCTGTATAGACGCACCTAAATCAGATAGAAGCAGACTACAAGGAAAAGCTCAAGACTGAACAAAATGCTCGTGAAGAGGCATCCAAAGTAAGATTATTATTATTATTATTATTATTCTTATTTGTTGTCGTTATTGTTTTGTACTATTTTTTTTTTATTCTGAAGTATTTAAATAAAAACCCATCCAAAAACGATCTAAACTTTTAATTCAATAGTGTAAGTTCAAGAACTATTCTGCAGCTACCAGAGCTCTCAGATGGAATTGATGAAGAACACGGTTATCCTATCATACTGTTTTTCCTGTCAGTCATGGTGTAGTTACTCTGTACTGGCAGTTGCAGTTGATGTAAATACTACGTGATGCTTATATTACCCTGGTCATTGTAGGAAGCTGCCGAGCTAAAAGAAAAGTTGGAGAAGATCACTGCGGAGGCCGATAAAGATATTCAAACCAAGTCTAGTGGAGATTTCCTTGCTCTTGCTGATAAGCCATACACGGGTCCCATGTGCGTTCTTTTATGTTATGTTCTGTGCATTAGTTACATCTTTGTTGCTGTTGCGGTATGCATTTCTAGCGATAATTCACAGCAGGACGGGTCATCGATGGTGGTTTCGTCGGGAACGTGTAGATTGTTTTTCTCCCTTGTATTCAAATTATGGGTGCTCATATTATTTATATACATAATTTTTCTGTTAGCAGAGAAGGACAGCTAGCGCTTGAGTTTCCAGGTGACGGTGCTCTAATACCAGTCGTAGCATCTGAGGTGTCAGGGACCGCTCTCGCTGCTGCACTCCTGCGCGATGGTTGGAGTGTAAGTTGAATATGCTTGCACTGATATTCATTCATCACAATGGCTGGATGTCGTGGCCTCGATTTGGAAGGGTCTCGTTATAAATAATTGTCATTACAAAGCACTTTCTGAACTTAAGGAATGCTGTTTACAGTTGGCAAAATTGTATAGCAAGTATCAAGAAGCTGTGGACGCATGGCGGCACGAGAGGCAAGAACGAAGACACTCCCAGTCACTCCTTGAGCGAGTGAGTGGTTACTGCACCCGGGATTATTAACGCCCACTAGTGTACTCGTGAAGGATTTTTAAACCATATTTAGCACTGTGCGATGTAAAACTTCTTTTTGGAAATGTATGCCCTTTTTCTGTAATTTCTGCGTGTGGAGGGTATGTTTTTGGATCATGGGTTTTGATTTTTAAATATTTCAGGTTCTTCATGAGATAGAGCTGAGGGCGGAGGTCATCATGGAAGAACGAGGTGTGTGTGGTTCTTTTGTATTGATGTTCAAGATAACTGATCACTAAGGTTTTGTAACTTTCTGGAAGCTAAGCTGAACTATATTACTGGTTGATGTTTGCTTCGTCTGATAATGCTTGCTTTAGTCATTTCGAACAACCGACACTGTTTGTATGCAAATGATGTAACCATGCGAAAATCCTGACGGCGGCACATTTTTTTTATTTACAGTTGCTCACAATGAGATGGTGGAGGCTTATCATAAGATGGAGGAGAAGCTTCATCAGTACCTAGAAGATCAAAATTCTCTTGACAAATCTTGCAAAGAACTGAAAGTGAGCCTTGCACAGTATATTATGTTAGCAATGAACACATAACTGCTCTGCGTCAAGTCTGTTTTACTTCGTGAACATTCCCTATTCTGCTCTTTATTGTGCTCCACCTTATTTCAACGTGCAGGCTGAATTGCGAAAGAAGGAGAGAGAGTTGAATATGCAGAGAAAAGAGAAAGAAGATCTACAAACTCAGGTATTTCACAAGTGGATAAGTGGACTAGCCCTTAAGCCTATGACTGTGAACTAGTCATTAGCTATTTGATATAGATTTAGACTAAATCTCAGATGATTGGATTTAACAAGTGTAGAGCGTCTGTTTTCATTTCTTTCCGGTTCTAAGTCATAAAACTTCGCTTCTCGATAAGCGATAAGCATAATAAATTCCCTTTTCCATGTCGTTGAACCCATCGTATACCATAGTTAATTTGTGGAGCTAACATGGCGACTAAGCCCCTGGCTTTGGTATGTTCGTAGTTATTTGCTCCTAAAATGCACTAAAGATCCTTTTTTCTTGTTGGTTGCAGGTCGCAGTGCTACTCAAAGAGTGTTTAGACGTCCAACAGCGATTTGGAGTTGGAGACGCAAATGGAGAAACTGCTATTGAATATGTGACTTCTAGGACTGAAAGCTCTGCTTCAGATGCAGTGATTTCTGAAAGACTCGTAAGGCTATCCTTGTTATTTTAGTCTGCCGCTTTTTTGGAACCTTCGTTTTCTTTTAATAGTCTTATTTAAAATTAAGTTTGATAGCTATTTTGTGGACTTGCTGTGTTAGTTTGTAATTAAGTATTAGTCTTTTGTTCCGGACTCTGAGGCGGTGCTGGTATGAAGTTGGTAGCTTGCTAGAAGTAGCGCTAGAGGTTGTGTAGTGCATGTATTTTACCGTCGTATTCTTGATGTTGCAGTCTTATGTGCTTACTTCAAAATTAGTTTCAGTCGGGAGTTAGCTCCTAGTGATAGACTTCACCATTGTATTTTGGCGTTTTCTGTACTCTATGCGTCTTTGATATTTATCATGTCTTTAATACAGCTTTCATTCAAGGACATTCGAGGCATGGTAGAGCACAACACACAATTGCGGACACTTGTGCGAACACTTGGACAGCAGAATGAACTGAAAGAGCAGGAGTTGAAGGTGAACATCCCCATGTTTTAAAGAAAACAGAAAATTCGAATCTCATTCATTTTTTTTTTCAGCACACACATCAATAGGTGGTCCCAATGTCGTTTTTGTACCTGATTCTTACAAACAACTATGGCTAGGCTGTAGTGGTGGAATTTTCGTGATAACCTTTCAGTGTAGCGCTTACATGCTTTTTTGCATCCTTTCCTATTATTTCAGGAAGAATTTCAGGTAGAGCTGAAGAGACGCCTTGAAGATATAGGCCGTAAAGTTGCCGACACTGTCAAAAGAAGTGAAGAGCAGGCAGAAATTATTGACAGGCTTCAAGGGACTGTAAGTCTTGTTTTGATGGTCTTGTAGTCTTCCACATCATTAGTGTGAAACTTAGGATTTAGTTTATGTGATATTTCTAATAATTATGTGACAATGCGGTACCTGGAGGTTTATTCTGTACATGCTCCGCTTTTTGTGGTCTGCCTGTACTCATTTAGTGCCTGTTTGCAGCTGCGTCAGATAATCTTGTCACATTCAGTTTATTTTTTAAAGTTATTCCTCAGCTGCAGAATGCGGCCAGATTGTCTTCCGTTCCACGACATTTATTTTCCTCCTAGTTTTTGACAGTTTCCTCAACTGCCCTGGTGGTTTAATTCTGCAGGTTGGCATGTACAGAAGGCTTTATGAAGATGAGATGAATACACGTCGTTTGTCCCAACAGAATGCTGGGGTTCCACCAATGGCTTCAGGTACAGGCTTCAATTGTGGATTTGAACATAAATCTGCAGTATCTTCAGCTTAAATAAAAGCATGGTCTCATCTAGAATCTTCGTCAGTGTGTCTGGCTGTGTACATGGATACCTTGGTTGTTTTCATGTCTTCACCCAGATAATCCTTTCAGTAGTTTTGAAACATTTTTTTTGTATGGATGGAACAACAAAGTCAGGTATAGTTGCAGCTGTGTATCAATTTTAGTGAGGCGAGGTAAGGTAAAGTGATTTTGGACCGCAGATACTAGTTTTAGGGGTTGTAATTATTCTGTTGGTTTTGATAATTATTCTGGCGTGGGCATTCAAGTTGAATGTTCTGAAGGTTGAATAATTATTATATTCTTCGTCGATGCCTGAATTGCAGGAAACAATGTTCAGGATCTTCGGAAGCTTCTTGACAATTCTCAGGTGTGAGAGTGCCACATACTTTCATGCTGTACGGTGCTTTTCTAGTATCTGTAGTCTTTGACCAGTTGAATTGAATGAGCTTATCATGCTTATATGTTTTGTTGCATTTTTGTTTGTTCAGGAAGAGATTAGTAAAATACGCGAAGAAGCTACAACTCGAGTTAAACTATTGGAGGAAGAGCTCACCAAAGTTAGGTTAGTTGAATATGAGGGCCTTTTTGTTCTGAAGAGGACGTAGTCTGGGATACAGATTGTTAATTAGCTTTCAAGGTTCTAATACGGAAGAGTTATCAATTCATTTACTGTGATAATTTGATGCCCCTGTATACTACTTAAATTTGACACATATCTGTCATGGGTTATTGACTTGGATATCAGGCAGGAAATTACTAACATGCGTGTGGAGAGTGCGAGAGCTGATGCTGAGGCCTCCTTTGCTAGGGATCAGCTATCATCACGGATGCGTGAGACAGAGAACCAGGTCTCTTCGCGTATCCAATCTGCTCGATGTTTCTTGAGCATCATGAATTACTGTGAACTATTGTTTTGAATATCAATCATTAAAAGGCGAGATGAGTTGCTTCTGGATATAATCTGGTGCATCTAACGGTTGTGGATAATCCAGTAATTGATGTGCCGTGATACGCTCTTGCTTGATGTTTTTCTGTCCTGATTGAATAGCAGCTATGTTACTTTTACTCCTTGCTCGCTGAAAGCTGTTTACTGTTGATACAGAATTTCTGTTTGTTATCATATTAATTATTATACATGATTGGTGCTCATTCTCAGAGGAAAGAGATGGAGACAGTACTTGCAAGGAATATGGAGTTTTCGCAAACAATTACCGACTATCAGCGCCGACTACGGGAGAGTGCCCAAAAGTTGCAGGCGGCAGAAGATCTTGCTCGTCGCCGTTCAATCGAGGTTGATTATCGTATTTACTCATATTTTGGCTTGGTCCCTCGATGCTCACGTAGATAAATTGGATCACGCATTAAATATTCGACGTCTTGGATGTGCAGTTTTCAGTTGCTGAAAGGGAGAAGGAACTGTTAGCAGCTGCAGAGAGAAGATCTTCTGAGGAGGTGGCAATGTTGTCCGATCGTTTGCATCGGGTCCAGGTATAATTAAGTCATTATCGTAACCTTAGCTTAAGTTTTTATCTATGCTTCTTCACTGATGGTTATTCTCCTTATCTGATATTTCATTGATGCACTGTATTGACTGGTTTCTGTAAATGGTCGTACAGGCTGCTCTGGATACGATGCAGAGTGTGGAAGAGACTCGTGAGGTATTATGAACCGGCTTGGTTTTTCTTTTTGGGGCAATATAATTAACACGTTCTAATAGAATACATCTTGATAATGAAAAGACTTGGTACTTTTGAAACTGTGAATAGTAACTCCAAAGTGTTTCCCCATGAATCGCAGAGCATGAGAATTGTCGAGAAGAAGAAGCTAGAAAGCGAGTTAAGCAACCTTCAGGTAAAGATAATGTCTTGCCCTTGCGTCTGAACCCCTAAAACTTGTACATTTTTTACTGCGGAGGAACCTCTATCCTAACTATCAATTAAGTTCTGCAGATTTTTGAGCACTTGTGGATACTTTTGCAGAAGTTTCATACTACGAATGTAATATTTTTATTAAACTAAAAGTAATCTGTATTTAGCTGTGTTGTAAATTTTCTTTGGTACTGATATTTCTTATGTTAACATCAATGTTTTACAGAAAGAATGGGTCGAGGCAAGGAAAGAGCTGGAAATTGAACGAGAACATGGACGACGCTTAACTACTCAGCGTGATAGAGCTGTAAGCGAGGCGTTGGAACGGGTTGAAGCTGTGAGCAAGGAGCTAGCAGTTGCCCTGAAGTCTGTTTCTGCAGCAGAGACGCGGGCGCAAGTTGCAGAGGTTAGCATTGGCATGTCTTTCATTAAACAGATTTTGGCTCGTGTATCCTTCTTGAGTCCTAACGAGCTTTGCCCTAGTTTTCATCGGTTCCGAATGACACTGATGTAGCTATTGTAGTTATTTTTGCATCGTAATACATGATGTCCATCCTTGTTCCAAGTTAGTGTCAATTAGCAGATACGAAAGTAGCTTTAGTTAAGCCAAGTGTTAGCAGTCGTGTTGCTTTGTTCATCATTTCTATTTGGGTAATTGTTTTAAGATTATTTCTCAATGATTGTAGGCGCGCTGTGTTGAGCTGGAGTTGAGTTTGAAGAAGGCTGACGATAAGGTGAATTGCAAACGTACTTGTGATTTTCATGCAGTTATACAATTCATCTGCTGTGTTTAGTATCCTGTAGTCAATATAGGCTGACACCTTGACACCACAGATTCTGCTGGCTTTGGGAGGGTCAAAGACTTTGGTTAGTGATGATGGCGTTGGTGTTGATGTCGATAATGAGGTGAGGATTTTCCTTCGGTTCTCTTGACGATTTCAGCTCTCATCAGGTAGCTAGAATTATCACGCTTGTGTCCACAAATTTCTATCACTTAAATGGTTTGTGAAATCTAATGTTGTATTGAAGCGATTTATATGTGAGTTTTTGCTTGTATTTATTGTTGGACGTCATTGTAAACACGTGCATTTTGGGTTTACGTATTGTGTTATTGAACTTCTCAATTTGTTACAGTAAGTGTTGCTTTCGATTTGTGTACAGATAATGTTAAATCTTCAGCAAACAAAAGAGGAATTGGAGCGTTTGAAGGAAGATTTGGCAGCTGCCAAGATCCATACTGACCAAGTGGGTGTAGAATAGATTCGACGAATTTGCTGTATAATTTGCATTTTGTAACGCACTCTACTCTTGTCAATTAGATGATCTTACCCTTATTCATACTTGTGTAGAGGGCTGTTTCTTCGTCCTGAAATATGCAATTTCTTTTCGTTTTTTACAACCTGCTTACAAGTACGACATATGTATGCAGTACAAAAAGATTGCTCATGCCAGCGAAGAGGCTTTGAAACAGATGGAGGAAGCTTATCTAAATTACAAGGATGAGGTACATTTTTCGTATTAGCCACGTTTTTATCGACATCACAGGCTGTGCCCAGGAATCATAGTTCGTTGTGGTGTTTCTTATTCGAATTTTTTTGTACTTATGTTCTTGATTCTTCAGTCTGAGCGGAGAAGAGAATTGCTGGAATCCGAAGTCAAAGATCTACAAAAGCGGGTCAGTGAGTTGGAAGCGGATATTTCTGAGAAAGACAAAGCTGCAGACGTTGCCGCTGAGGAAAAAGAAAAAGCTCTCACGAGTGCATTGAAAGAAATATCTTCCCTTAAGGAATCTCTCGTCAGTAAAGAGTAAGTTATTAATCTGTCGTCTCTAATAAATAGGCAATTTTTTCCCCTGAAGTTTGGAGCTTGTGTAGATGACTAGATCCCTTTGCAAGATGCTAAGTTTATTCTCATTTTTATCTCAATCGCTGAATGAGCATAGCTCGGTAGTCTTTTTCTTCTGATATTGAATTGCGTTCCTCATCACAAAATGATATTTTTCATCTTTCTTTCAGAGCCGTTGCAGTGGAATCGGAGGAAAGGATTTCATCTTTGAAGCACGAGGTGGAGAAGCTACGTCAACAATGGCGTGATGCTCAGAATAACTACCAGAGTCAGGTTTGGATTTAGAACTCATTTGTTGTAAACGAATTCGCATAATTTTGCTTTATGGTTTGCCATTTCACAAATGTTAAATCAGAGGGTTTGGCGTCATCACTTTCTGGTCATTGTATGTAGGTTCTTCTGCAAGCAGACACAATAAGAGAGTTAACTGCGACTTCTGAGAAACTTTCAAATTTGGAGTCAGTGGAGCAAACTTTGCGTGAGCGAGCAGAGAGTGCCGAAGCAGAATTGGTATGAGCCAACTTGACTGAGGAATTCGAAGAATTTTTTTTCGCAATGACCGAGGAGTTCTTTGTAGCTTGTGGAAACCAGATGTTAACATGTTTGTACGTTTTGGTCGTGCAGGGAAGTTTGCACGTTCATTGGGCAATGGAAAAGTCCTCTTTAGAGGCAGCTAAACTTGAAGCTGAGAAGAAAGTCAAAGCTTTGGATGAGCAGGTACGAAAGTAGAAAATGACGGATGTTGAGAATTAGGTTGGACCTTAATGAATACGGTAGATTTAACACGAACGGTATATGACTCGGCTTTTTTGTTTTACTGTTCACCCGCGGCTGTACATAGGAAAGTGTAACTTTAGGAAGATTCAGTTGATCTATCTCTGTATTAGTTCCTTAGATAGGGTTATTTTGAAGCGAATTCTTTCATTCTTTTTTTCTTTATTGATGATTTATTATTATTTATTTATTATTATTTTTTATCGTTCAATCACGTTGCGTGATTAACCGGTTAATTGAAATATTGTAAGTACTGGCAGTTCAAATCAAGATGCTCTCTATATAACTAAGAACTCGATGTGTTATGCAGAATCAAATATTGTTGGATAGACTGGAAGGCATGCACATCGTGGCTGCAGAAAGTGAACGAAAAGCATCAGTGTCTGTGACCGAATCAGGAGAAACTTCGGAGTTTCAAGGAGGATCCGACCTGCAGAACGTGATCAGATATCTGCGCCGTTCGAAAGAGACGGTTAGTTTCCTCAAGTTGCAGTGCACATTCTGACCCAGATTTCTTGTTTAAAGGTCAAGTATGTAGAATTTCAACCTGACTTGGGAATCGTTGCAGGCGGACACGGAGCTAACGTTAATGAAGCAAGAACGGGTTCGGTTGCAGAAACAGGTACTCTGACCCTGAGAGATTGTTGTGAATATCTCAACAATTAGCATTGATTCATTTTGAGTTCTTTTAATATGTTCATTTTCTTGAGTTTAGAATTAATTGTTTTTGGCTGTTCTTATCAGTCCTTCTCGCCCGACAGTTTGGTTATTTGATCGGTACCCGAAATTGAATGTGCATGTAACCACCATCCTCAGACCCTTGATGATCTTCGGAGAGATTGTTTCAAGTTTAGAGGCTTGGGTCAATTCTACCTTTCTATTATTTGATATGCACAAGTCTGCATTTCACAATTAAGTTCGAGCTTATGTTCTGTGATGTTGGTTAGCTGGAAGGAGCTTATCGGGCTGCTGAGGAAGCACAAGCAAGCTTGCGTCGCGAACATGAAAGTGCACGAGTCAGTTTGTATACTGATGAGGAATTTCGAACTCTCCAAACCCAGGTGTGTGAACCCCATCTGAAGTTGTTGCCAATCTTGGTCACTAGCTTAAATACTCTGCTACTTTGAGATGCTACAATATCAGACAGTCGCAAATGAAGGGGGTCCGTTCATTAGATGTAAGTATCTTGTGCATCTTTTTTAAACGATGCATATAACTGGATGATCTTGTTGCTCCCTCTTTCTACAATGTCTGTGATTTTAAGAATGTTTTTATATGTTTTTGCGCAAGTAGGTCAGGGAGCTGAATCTCCTACGAGAAAGTAATGCGGAACTTCGAGAAGAAAATAAGAAATCCTTCGAAGATTGTCGGGTATGTTATTTCTTTGCTGGTGTTTGTTTCACCGCAAATGACGGGTCCAATGCCTCTTTTTGTGTACTTGTATTTTGTTTGATGTTTCTGGTATTTTATGGCAATCTTTATGATAAGTTGTTACGTTATATGTTGTTATGATCGTGTTAACTATGCTGTAGAAGGTGAAGCGAAGGGTGGGTAATTGTTTGATTTAGTCAGTGGTGTTAATATAGTATGAGATTCTTTGTCAGGAATGGCGCGAGAAGGCTAGAGTGGCACAGTCGGAATTGGAGCCTTTGCGGAAGCGCCTGCGAGAAAAGGAAGTTGATTTAGAAGCAAGTGCACGTACATTGGAAAGTCAGAAAGCACAGACTCAGAGATGGGAGAGGCGAGTGTCACAGGTTTGCAGTCTCTTTGTGGCGACAAAGTTTCTCTGTTGGCATTTTAAAACTGTAGCTGATATATTTCGATCATTGTTCTGGATGTTTGTAACTTCATTTCATATGTAAATCTGCCATGGCATTGTTTTCGTGGTTCAGGCAATCCGTCTGTAGGTTTAGGGGTGTTTTACATCTTGTGCCAAGGGACCGCTCAATGTTTTCATCCGTGTTTGGAAAGGACAAGTAGTAAGACAAGATAGGAGAATATTATAATACATTTTATTTAAAAGTACCTGGGCCCCTGCACAACTTTTGAAGAGATCTCCTCTAACGATCAATGTGACAAGATTATTTTGCAGTTAGTGTTGTTACGTTGGGTCTACGACTATTTTTCCATATCGGGTCTCTTCTATCATACTCATGCTTTAGATAACAGTCCTCAACCTTGAAGCTATCATAACATGGAGTCGAATGACTAAAATTTCCCTCGACTCAGGTGAAACTGAAACTTTGATTCGCTCCATTGTTTGCAGTTGCTAGACAAGTACAAAGCTGTTGACTTAGAAGAGTATCAACGAGTGAAGAACGAGCTTTCTGCGATTCAGGTAAAAAGAGTTCATTTGTGTGTGAACTTGTTTATGCTTTAACATTTCTATTCTTGTAATTGTACGAGATTTTTACCCATTGTGAGATTACTCTTTGTTCGACGTTGTTATCAATGAACTCTTTTACTCTTCGTGCTAAATGCAGGATCGAGAGAAAGAAACCAGGTCTTCACTTGAGATTGCTAGGAAAGAAATACAGGACTTAAAGTCTGTCGTAACAAAATTCGAGGAGGAAAAGCAAGCGAAGAATAACCAAATCAGTGATTTTGAAAATCGTGTTGCGGAATTGGACAGAAAACTGCAGGATGCTTTGCAAAACGAGGTATTTTGTTCATTTATAGTGATCTTTGTCTAAGCACTTACTGATCTAAGAATCAAGTTTGACATATGAAACTTGTCACTGGGTGAGCGTAGGATGGTTGACAAGAGCAACGAGTAGATTTTAACGTTTATTTGTACTATGTTGTATATGTTAGGTTTCTGATATATATTAAAGCTATTTACTACATACCAGACTGTATTGAGGTAGTTTTTTAGCACTGTCATGGTTGGTCCGTGTTAGTACGTTGTTTGTTTTCTTAGTTTTATCTCATTGGTTTTTCAATTCTGACGCAGACAAACGTGAAAACTGAGCTTACACGTTTTAAAAGACACGCTGCTTTTCAGAAGGTGTGTATGAAACCACTGTGTGGGCGAGATACATTCCAAGCTAGTTATTGGACTGTGTTCGGTTGATCTTGTGTCCATGCTAATTTTGATTGGTGCAATGTCTTTTAAAGCACTTGCATGACCTGTGGTATGTGTGGCGTTCAGAAAAAAATTGACGACTTGAACAAGGAAAAAGAGGACATTTCAAATGAGACTGAGAACCTCAGAAAGCAAATTGAAGAGCTCAGAACAACTGGTATGTAATGCACACAGAGTTCTGCCGTATCTTGACTACTTAATGGCAAAAGGCGTAGCTAGTCAGTTGCATATTCTTGTTTTGCTACATTGTGCTTAGTCCACAACTTCGCTTGTCTTTGCGGCTTGGAAATATCTTGTATTGACCATACGTGTTAGAATGCCGTAGTCACTTTTCGGAGTCTCAGCTGATATATCATGTTTTGGAACAGCCTCGGATGTTTTTCTTTTCAGAGGCTCACCACGTTTCTTACAACTCTAATTCTCATCTTCAGGTTCAGGAAGACGACCTGGTGGTGATCAATTTGCTGCAAAGCAATATGAGGCACGGATAGAGCAGGTGCAGAAGGATTTGAAGGACGCAAATAACAGGTTTGAGCAGGCTGAAAGGGAGGCGGCTGCTCGACAAGAGCAAGTTCAGAGGGAGGTTGAAAACCAGTTGAAAGAGAGAGATTCTCGCATTCAGGTTTGTACATTTCGCTATCTTCGCATAGTTCTTAAAATTGAGTTTGTAGTAGTCCTACAATTAATTTGAGTTTCTATGATTTACAAACCGTCGTTGTTATGTTTGAGAGTGTCCAATCCCACTTGATAGTGTAATCCCTCTATTGATGAAAGTTTCTGGGTTACTTGTTACTTGGGTATCTGTCGTCCAGGTTCTGGAAAAAGCTCTTGAGAGAGAAAAAGAAGAAGCGAAGAGAGAGAAAGTCAGGAGAATGAAGAATGATAGAGCTTATCTTGAATACAATCAGAAAGCGCAACAGGTTACATTATTTGTCATTTCTTACCTTGTCTCTAATTTGCTTTTTTGAATGTCTTAATCAATTTTATACCATTTCATGATAGTATGGAATTTAATGAGGATCCTTTGTTATTTTTACGGAGGTAGGAAATGTCTGGATGAACCCGAGCACTTGCAGCCATTTTCTCTTTCTTCTTGTACTTCTCTTGAATTCTCGTATACCCTCCTGTTTGGTCTACTCGGTGTAGAAACAAGGTGATAAATGATTTTGGAGAAGGAGAAGGAGCAGTCTTATGTGTTATGGGCCATCTTTTTTCTAGCTTATCCTACCCGACAGTTTGTTTTCAGTGGTTGAAAGTTACTACCGATGAATCGTCATTTGTGATTGTGGTAATACTAATTCAATTCAGTATTTTGGAATTTAATTATATCTTTTTCTCGATGTGCAGCAACTAGCTAGCGCAGGCCTGGCTGTGGAGCCTTCAACGAAGGCAGCAGAGCATGAGGAGACCGGCGAAACAAATCAAGGAACTTTACAACAGACGGCGCAGGATGCAGCTCCAGAAACATCGACAGCTGCTACCCCTGCCTCTAGCACTCCTGCGCTTTCTGTGCCAACGACAGCAGGAGCTGCAGAGCCATCTGCACCCATTGAAACCACTTCAGCAACTCCAGTTTCTGCAGAGCCATCCACCATTATCACTGAGCCTGCCAGTGGGATGCCGACTGCTCCCATTGAACCACCTTCTGTAGTACCAGCTCCTCCAGCTCCACATTCTGGTGCGACTCGTCCTTATTCGGCGTCCTAGGCTTGATTGAGTTGTACCAGACATTTAAGCTGCCTGTGCACTGATGAGTCGAAGAAAATTAATTATGTACAAAGTACTTTACTAAGCAGGAGTTTCGTTTGTGTCACACGCTCTTTCGTCAAAATTTGCGTCATTTGGTATTTATGCCCATTGTCTTCTTCAGGACGTCCACTGAGGGCCGACGTTAATCCCTTCGTTCCTGGAGTATCGACTTCAGTCCCTCCAGTGCGGCCATCCATTAGAGCTACATCGTCTGCTAGTGCAAATGCTCCTGTGCGGCCTCCAGCAAGATCGATTCCTACAATTCCTGCTGCTGCGCCATCCATTCCAACCTCATTTGACATCGCAAGAGAACGAGAGATGGCTCTGCTTCGTGAAAAAATAAAACAAGAAGAGGTACAATAAAAGCTTAGCTTGTCTCTAGTTTGAAGTACGACAGCTTATTATTCATTTATTGTAGGTAAGATGTTTTATGCGTAGTCTGCTCTCTTAGGGGAGAGTTTTTAACACATGAACTCACTTAGTGGCATTCTTCTCATTTCCAACAGAGCAAACGCAAGACTACTCGCCGTTTGATTCGGCCTCGTATCGAGCCAGCGCATGGAGCGACTACCAGCAGTATGGAAATTGGAGAAGGTTCGCAGGAAGTTGTAAGTGAAATGGTTGATGCCGACATTGAGATTCCAGGTGAAGGGAAGGCACCCGTAATATCAGAGCTTCCTGACCGTGTAGCCTCCCCTCCCACTGGAGTTGGCGAAACCGTACCAAGTGCAGGTGCAGTTGAGACCCCGATCGTGGTTGCTCCACCGGCAACTGCAGTATCTGTTGCACGAAAGCGTGCAGCCCCTGCACAAGAAGCTACGCTTGATGATGAGGTCCCGTTGCAGGATAGCAAATCAGAGAAGGCCCCGCCACAGAAAAAATCACGTCCAGCTGAGGTGAGATGCTTGATTTGATCATGGAGATTCAATAGTATTCTAACCCTTTGGTGTATCAAAGCCATAAAAGAATATCCGTCTCCCATCTGTCAAGGCGGCTAGTTTTCGATTGTCAATAAGGTTTGGCATGAAGTCGTAAACAATCGATTTGTTTGTACTTATCTTCAAAATTAGAGCGTTAGAGTGTTTGGGTGGGCTCTGAAAAGGGCAGCCTTATAAGAAACTTTCCGAATGTGCAGGAAACACAAACGGAGGATCTGAACTCCTTAACTGGCGTACAAAGTAGTGCTCACCATGTGGAGAATGCTGATATTCCATCAGAAGTTCGTCCACAGGGTACTACAATATCCGAGATTTCTGATTCCGTTGATCATCGTCCTCTTGCTGATGCTGCCGATGCTCCAGCTTTGAAAAAGCCAAGAATTGTTCACGTGAATGATATCACTGCACCTGTTCAGTCATTGGAGAAAGGCACGTCCTCATCAAGTCAGAATATAGGTTTGCTCCAAGAGAAGGCTGATTTGGGTCAGAAGGAATCGTCAAATCTAGAGGAGCTGGGTGGAAAACCTGGAGGACAATTACAGGAAGCAGGTACGGAGTCGCTGGAACTACCAGTTGTGTCAACATTCAAGACTGATGGTCAATTTCCAGGTGAATCCATGATGATGGATAGTCTCCCCGCTACAAGTCTTGACCCTTTCACAAACGTTGCAGAGCTGGTTGTGGATTCGATGACTGGAAGTGCTGTCGATGAGGCCATTGGTCAATTTCAAAAACCAGGGCTTGAGGTTGACTTACCTGGGGGCACTGCAACAGAGACTATTACAACAGTGACTACGATCATCGAAGAAGAAATTGTTACCACAACGGAAACAGTTGAAATGGGAACAGAACCTCAGAATCCTGATGACGCTGAAGAAGGTGAAATAGTTCCAGAGGTTGTGGAAGATGTCACCAAACCTGCAGAAGCAGTGCCATCTGATGCTAATGCACACGACAGCAAAGACCGTGGTCCAGAATCAATTGCCAAGCCAGAAGTTGAAGACCCCAAGACATCAACTACTTCCATCACTGTTGATGCAGAAAGTGTTCCCCAAGGAACAGAGGCAGCTGGTCCGAATTCTCCATTGGAATCAGAGGTGACAAATTCATAGTAGGATATAATACTAAAAATCAGTCTAGGTCGGATTCCAATTATCTAAATCATCAACTTTCTATGTATTAACATGATGTAGTCCGTGCTTATTGGAAACGTTAGTGTGATGAGAGTACTAACCATTTTTGTATATTATACTATATCTCCTTTTGGCGGCCTTTGAGAAATCGTAGTGTACTAACACAAATTATGTATTGTGATATCATACACAATACACGACCTCATTTTTGTGGCCTTCAAGTAGTTGTAGAGTATTTAACTGAATGTCTTTCACAGGTACCGATTTCGTCAACCTCTACTCCGGAGGTAGCAAAGCCTGCAGATACTGAGCCGTCTACTGAGATGAGTGTTGAAGAGAGATTGTCTGAGGCTGCTCGAACTGCTGAAGTTGCTAGTGGTCATCGGACAAGACTGGCAACAGGAACTGTGCAAAGATCTCCTGGGCGGGGTGGTACGACTATTAATTTGGCTGATCGTGCCAAGGAGAGAGCCGCACTTCGCCAAGGAGTTGCAGCTCCAACGTCCCCAGGTGGTCGTCGCGGTGGACGTGGTGGAAGAAAGGTACATTTCACCAGTGACATCTCGTTTTAGTTTTGTTTCTATACCAAATACTGACCACCTCGTTCTTTGGTTTTCTTGCAAGAGTATAATGTAGTGAAAGCTAGGTCAGGTGCACTTGCTTAAATTTTATACCTGCTGCTGCGCATCCTAATGTGCTTTAGAAGATGTCTATCAGCTTATGATTCCCATGTAGCTACTGTTATCCTACTACCCTGTGTCTTACATATTAATCAATGTTGCTATATTTAATCTGACCAAATAAATAATGAAAGTAATGATTGTTATATTTAAGAAAATGAGAGTACTGAAAAGGTGTCATTAATATTTTTTCGTACAACAACGTGATGCACTCAGAGAGGTGTAGGAGCAGGGCGTGGCAGGCTAGGCGGTGCAGGTAGAGGTGAGATAAAAGCCTTTTCCTTGTTCTATCTGTTTAAAGAACCTTGATAGCTGTATTCCAGGAAAGCTTTTCTTGGAAATATTTTAGACGGTTGCCGAATGATATACGTGGTTTTTATTTTCAAGGTTTACCTCCTGCTGATATTGGTGGTGTTCCACTTACTGAATATTGGTAGATTTTTGGGAATTTGTCTCGTCTTCTTGAATTTCTTTTGCTTTCTCTGTAGGTGAAGGCAGTGGTACATTACCGCAAGGAGGAGCTTCAGGAACAAATCCAGGCGATCAACCACAACAATCTACCAATCCTTCAGTTCCACACGATTTTACAAACACTAAGGACAGTCAAAGTTGAAGGCAGAGCCAAACAAGGCAGTGAAGGTTGTAGCTTTAGCTCATGTGGAAGCAAAAATGCCATCGATGGCTACAAATTCTGAGTACGATTTACTGAAATTTTATTTGACCTGCTCTAATTATTTTTCTTGTCGAGAAATTCGGGGTACAAAGATGTTCAGACAGTATTGGTTAAGTAATATGTGCATAACTTGTTTTTGGATTACTGTCGAGTTTATAGGGTCTACAGGCTTTCGGAGGGGTAAACCAGGCCTTATGTTCTCGCTGATTATAGTAGACACTTTAGTGTTCAACTCTCATGGTTCTCGAGGGTGCATTTTGGAAGCTTTTCATGAAGTTTCAAGTCTGTAGGTGAGGCTTGTCCCGTCTGTTTGAGGACGCGCATTGGCTGAGTGTTACCAATTTTATCGATGTTGATTTGTCGCGGTTTCTGCACTTGCAAGGAACGTTTCATCCGATGCAACTTCTTTTGTTGCATTTCGTCTGGTGTTATTCAATTGTGTGGAAAATAACGGTTTGAATCTGCTTTTGTGTGATGCGTTTTGTGAATTTTCCAACTTTTGCACTTACGTAATAATCCAAGGGACATAGTATCACTAGTCTCTAATTTTCTACCGTTTATTCGTATAAATTTACATCAAACCTTGGCATCTCAATGTAAAATGCCATTACTTCCATAATATTGATTGCAAAGCATGGATCTCATATAATTGCAAAGGAGATTGTACTTAGTTGCTAGGACAATGGTTCCTTTGTAGATTTCTTGGTGACATACAGAAAATGTACTAACTTTCAATAGATGTTTGTTATTTACTACCAACGCCAAGAACTACTATAGAAGCATGTTATGAACCAAAAATTGGTATGCTTTCTACATAAAAATATAATTTGATTGGGTAGTATTTGCTTTTTTTGACTTAGATGTTTTTCATTTTACACATAAATATGAACCATGGTTGGATATATAATATAATACTCTCGATTTGAGAGTTCAATAAAAGCTATTGTCAATAATTCACTGCAATAAGTTTAAATTCTAACCCTCTGTAACATGCTAAGTATATAATGCTGCTTAAAACTTAGATGATTGTCTTTAAATCCAATGCCAATTTCATTGTCTTCATAAATATTGAGGATCTTGAAGACTAAATACAAAACAACTGCAATACAAGTATATGAATGCTAATATATTTTGTGCTGTAGCGCTAGTTAGATAACCCTCAATTCTATTAAACAACCACCAAATTTTATGGTTTCTTTTAAAAAATTTGGAGCATCACTTAGTGCTAACATAGTCCAAGGTTGCTATTTATTTGAAGAAGCAACATTTATATTCCTTGCATCATCACTTAAGACTATAGAAGAAGTCTCTCTACCGAAATTGGTTTTTATATATACTGCTCCTATAGGTGATGAAACATCATTGATGATGACTTATCAAAACACCTCTCTTAATAAGACTTGGTTTTAGAATATCACAACATACTTAGTCCTTGATTTTAAAATTTGAATGAATGAAGGCAACTTACAAACATTAGAAATGTCCTTTAAAGCTCTTCCATCTTGTTGAGTAAATCAAATAGGTGTGCATTATTTTTCATCATTGCCATGGACATCCAATGCCCATTTAAAATATCATCTATCTTCTAATCAATAGGAAGTATGATTTAAGAAAATACCAAAATTAGCACATAATCACTTAGATTAGTAACCATAAGATTCTAAAGCCATTACATCTATAGAAATTATTAGGCTAAGTAATTGCCAAACATAATGTCTATCTTCTATAATCTTTAGCCACAAATTACTAAATAGAGATATGTTTTTAAAAATGTACATCTATGGTGTAGAATCTACAAGTAGATGACTATTACATGAGTTGCATTAAATTCAAGAAAAGACTTTAATTTAGGTCATTCAATTCATATGATTTTTTTTGTATGATTCATATGATATAACAAATTCATTTTTTTTTTTTTTTTTTTTTTTTTTTTTTTTCCCTTCAATCTTCTATATTAATAAATTTAATGTCACAAAGAAGGTATCCAAAATAATTATAGGTAGTAAAATAATGAAACTAATCTATATATAGGGCTAAAATCCTTTAAAAATGTTGATAAGCTACTAAAGTAGAGGTAATTTTGTTCTTTACATAAATATACTACAAAACTTTAAATCCTTCTTCTTAAATTATTTTTAAACAAATAAGAATAAATTCAAATAATTCCACTATATTAATATCTTCTATTAATAGATGCTAAAGAATTGATTGGACAAAAATTTGCAAAATCAATGGTTTTAACAATACTTTTGGATCCAAAGCATCCATAATGTCTTGATGTTGTCAAAAAAATTCTATATATATTCTTTATGATAGAAATGGATTCTTACTATATTAAATCAGAACTACCAATGTATATATTATTTTGTATAATTCATAAATATTAAGGTTTCTTTTAAGCAAATTAATCTACAATTTAAAATTTTGATTAAGGTACTACAACCAAATATTTTTGACATTGACATAGATAAGATTGTTGTTGTAAATTCCACAAAAATTAGTTGTTTCTTTTCATAATTTGAAAATCATGTTGGTCCAATTTATTCTTCTTTAATCTAATTTTTTATATTAAAACTAAGTAGATAAAGGACTTATTGACTAACTAAAATGTCATGATTAATTTTCTTGATATTAAATACTATAAAAATAAGTGTGAATAAAGTGTTTCTATATACAACACAAAAAATCAACTAGTAAATTTTTTAACTATAACCAATGATATGCTATATGCCCTCTTATCAATGTAGCAATAGTAAATTGACATGATTTGAGGTTATTTGGTCTTAATTTTAATTCTTAGACAAGTTGTTTATCAATCATAATTAATTTGGCTTTAAATTCAATATCACTTTTAATAATATAACATAAGTAGAATTACCACTTATGCCACTAAGCACAAGGACACTATTATTATTAATTAAGAAGATTATTCTTAATTAAAACAATTGAAGGTTCATAAGCAAGCTTAACCACCATGCATGATAAATAAGTGGCTATAGCCACCAATAAAGTAGATAGATTCAATCCTAAAAATATATTGCTATTAACAATTGACATAGCTTTTGCAATGAGCTTTGCATGGAATTGAGCCATCTATTTTAAATGTTTATCTAAAGATGGCATATCCATTGCTTAAGTCATATTTACAAAAGTTATAGCTATCTTGTCTTTTAAAATCTTATCAACTTACTTAAGATCTCTTTTTAATTTAAAATTAGGTTAGATCAATTATAATATTGAGAAGATTGGTATTTGTAACTTCTTAAGTATTTTTGTAGCATCAAAAAACTTAAGTTTACTTTCATATGCCAAATATAATATTTAAGATTGATTTGTAGCAACTTTCTCTAAGAAAAAAGAAAATAGTAAGTGAACTTAACTAACTTAGTGATGAGGACCACCATGCTTATTTTGAATGGTATTTTCTACTCATTTTATAATTAGAATCACTTACATTACATTTAAAAAAATATATTCTTAAGTGGCAATCACCACTACCACCTTCTTAAATACAAAAATCATATAAATATCTAAAATTAAAGTATTAGTTTTACAATTAGAATTCTATCTAAACTTTGTCATTTAACCTTAAGATATCATTGTTCTTAATTTTTCTTTAAAAATAATCACCTTAACTTCTAGAGTCTTTTTCTATTCAAAAAAAGTTATTTTTTTAGATGCAATAAAAAAATGCTTCTCATAATATCCAATCCTATAATAATTGGAGCATGTATCACGGACCAAAAATACAAACAAGAAATCTAAACAAGAAGTTCAAGAAGAAATGACAAGAACTAGATTATCAGATGAGTACAAGAGCAACGCCAAGAGAATTGAGCTAGAGCTTCAAGAGATGTGTTGTCGAGACTGAAGAATTCTTCAGCCTCGACTCCTATATATACTACTGGCCTATGGTTCTAAGGAAGCACATCAAGAAGCTTTCCAAGAACTATGAAGCTTCTTGAGCAACTACCCAAGAGTTAGGAAGCTTCTCAAGTAACTTCCTAGAATCTACTAGAATATTCTAAGAATCTTCTAGAGCCTTCTAAGGGAATCTTTAGAGAATATTAAAAGAATCTTTAGGGAATCTTGAAGAATATTCTAAGAAAATATTCAAGGAATCTTCTGAAATTTTCTAGAGACTTCTTTCTAGAAGATTCTAAAAACTTGTCTCTAGAAAGGTCTAAAAACTATGTCCCTAACATCACCTCCTCTTTTAGCTTCGAGGTCTCCGAGAAGCAATGTTATCGTCAATCAATACCAACGCAAGAAAATGAAGATCTGTCGCATAACCTCTGCTATGAACTCCAATTGTTGTTCACGAGGCAAGTGATTCAATGGTCCTTGAAGCCAACAGTAGTGGCCCACGCTTTCAACTTCTGACCAAGCATGAACCTCCGTGTCTTCATTGTGAAATTGTCCTGCAAACACTCCTTCTGGCTGACCATTGTAGGCAGGCTCGACCTCAAATACAATCACCAGCGATCTGTTGCTCGGAATCCTTCGACGTCGTCGTGGTGCAGGCGGTTCTTCATCTCGCGGTCGTCTTCGTGAGCTAGTTGCTTGAGATGACATGACAAGTGTAGTATCTTGGCTATCCATATTCAAAGGCTAAAATAATAAGAACAAACTTGGGCTACTAACAAAGTTCTACGCTATCTTGGAGAGAATGACTACATCAACTATGGATTTTGGTGGTGCTCTCTCCTCTTTTCTGTTTTCTGGATGAGCAAGCTTCAGTAAGAAGCTATCGTCGAACCAGCTTGAGTTTCTCAGGATATCGTCGATGAAACTCCTGTACCTTTGCGGCGCATTCGCGAGATTTTCGACCGGCTCCCATGTTCGTTCATTAATATCGTAACCGCTCTAATGCACAAAGTATTCTAATTTACCCCGTCTTTGCCGTGAATCCAGGACCTTTTCCACCTCGTATTCTTCGTGGTTCTCTATTTCTATGCTAGGTGGTGGACATTGTACTCTTCCAGGAAAAGACGATTCTCGATAAGGCTCCAACAAAGAAACATGAAAGACAGGATGTACCTTCATAGTAGTTGGTAACTCCAGACGATACGCTACAGGATTGATCTGCTTCTGGATAACAAATGGTCCCAATCTCCGATAGTCCAATTTGTCACATGGCCGCTTGGTCTTAATGTTTCGTCGAAGCAGCCAAACTTTGTCTCCAATCGTGAATTTAGGTGCCTGATTCCGAAATTTATCCACGGACGCCTTGTAAGATTCTTGGGAAGTTTGTAATTGAAGCTTCAATGTAGTTTGAAGCTGCGAAAGCTCCTTCACCAATCCTTCAACTGCCGGATTATTAATCGTTGACGAACTCCATAAGTCAAGCTTCGGATGGTATCCATAATTGGAAAAGAATGGTATTTGTTGAGTTGACGCATGAAGGGTGTTGTTATATGTGAACTCGGCT